AGTGAGGTCTCAGAAATCTATTCAGGGGACAGAGTGGAGGTTGGACAGAATGCACTCACTCTTCATCCCTTCTCTAGTTCCGCCTCTGTCCTCCCCCCTCCCATCCCCTGGCAGGGTCACTGGGAATTCCTACTTGATCCTTCACTGTCACCTCTAGTTGCTTCTCTCTCCCGACCTTCCCTCTCCCCTCTTGGTCCCATGACATCTTTTCCCTGATTCCTTTCCTCTTCTCTGACTGTGCCATCTCCATCTCACACAAGGAGACTGAGTCCCCAGAACTCTGTACCAGCCTCTGGCTGCTTTCTGCATCACCCTACAGCTCAGCTCATCCACGCTGGTGCTTGCAATCCAACCTCCGCCTTGAAGACAGTCACAAATCCCTGTCAGATCCAGATGGTCCTGAGTGTCCTGCTCTCCCCCTTCCCAGGCCACTCCCACCCAAGTCACCTGAGTCAATATGCTGGAAGTGACTTCAGACATCTCTGTATGTCACCCCACACTTCCCATGACTTGGTGAGTTTTGAAAACTTGAATTCCTGAAAATGTCTCAAATCCCTCTCTTCCTCCATCCCCATGGCTGCAGCCCCACCTTAGGCCTCCATTCTTGCTCTCACCTGGAATGAGTGAGACCTGGACAGGACCAGCCCCCTCTCTGGACTGGCAGCTTCCATTTTCTCCTCCTCCACCTGCCAGAATTTGGACCCCAGACCTGACCCTCTTACTTCCCCGATCAGAACCCTCCCAGGGCCCCCTGTGAACCTTAGGGGAGAGGCTGAGAGCATCATCTTGTGGAAGCCTCCAGGTGGTCAGACCTATGCGTGTCAGCCCCCTGCATGGTTCACACATCAAGGTCCTCCTCCTGGGATGGTCCCTCCTGTGTCTAGACATGGCCAACTCTTCCTCAGACGTCCATTTCCCATCCTGCATCCTCCAGTTGCCTCTCCTTCCCCCACCTCACTTCACGATCTTCACCCTGCTCAGCCCTTGCTTGCAATGCTGTCTCAGGAACACTATTCTCCATTCCTGTGTCTGTGGGAGGGCAGAGGGAGAGAGGGCTTCTCAGCCCTGCCCTATGGCTCTCTCTGTCTCCCTAGTCCCAGAGGTCCTGGGCAATACCACCTCCCTGCGAGTCCAGGAGGGCCAGTCTCTTCGCCTGGTCTGTGACACTGACGGCAACTACCCTGCCAGGCTGAGCTGGTCCCGGGGAAGCCTGACTCTGATCCCCACGCAGCCTTTGGATCCCGGGGTCCTGGAGCTGCCCCGGGTGGTCTTAGGGGATGGAGGAGAATTCACCTGCCGAGCTCAGCACCCTTGGGGCTCCTACCACAGCTCTGTGACCCTGGTTGTTCAGGGTGAGTACAGCAGGACACCTGCGTTCTAGGTGGGGCCGTGAGCAGGCTCAGATGTGGACTTTAGGGAACTCATCCCTCCATCCTTCTCCCCCCTTTTCTCCCACAGGTATCTCCTGCTCCTGCCCCCACATCTCTGGGGAGCAGCGGGGCACCTGGCCTCTAGTCCTCACCCTGCTCAGGGGGGTCCTAATGGGGGCTGGCTTCCTTCTCACCTATGGCCTCACCTGGATCTACTACACCAGGTGAGAAACCCTTCTCAAGGTGTCCTACACCTTGGGGACCTTGCGTGGCTTCACCCATCTTGTCCTCTCCAGAACAAACTCTCCACGGCATCAGTCTCTCATTGCAGAACTGTGTTTCCCCCACAGGTTCAGAGGCTCCCAAGGGGACAGTGCTTCAAGGCGTGACTGAGCCCCCTTAAATCGAATTACAGTTCATGTAATATGTTGCTCTTGTCTGCTTACCTTCATGTGGTTAACATATTGTTATAAATCCCATGATATTTTATTTTTACAAGTTTATTTTAAAGAGATATTTTTAATGAGAAAATAAACTCTTTAATATGGATCCACATATTAACCATTTCAACGGCTCTTCATTCCTTTTCTACATTCCAATGTCTCCATTATATCACTTTCCTTTTGCCTGAAGATCTTTTCTTATATTTCTGCTAGCGCAGGTGCGCTGGGGATGAACGGCCTCGGGTGTTGTTGGTCTGGAAAATGTTCACTTACATCAGCTTTGGAAAGATCTGTTTATTGGACCAGGAATTCTAGGTTAACGTTTTCCCCTTCCGGTTCTTCCAATTCTTTGGCTTGCCTAGTTTCTTAAGAGAATTCTACTGTAATGTTCATCCTTCTTTGCGGTTGTCTTTTTCTTTGACTGGTTTGAATATTTTCTCTTTTTTCCTGCGTTTAAATGGTTTGAGTATGTGGGCCTTGGTGTGGGAGGTGTGTGTGTGTGTGTGTGTGTGTGTGTGTGTGTGTGTGCGTGCTCCCACAGCTCCACCCAAGCCCTCTGTTCCCCCTTGGTGAAGGCGTCCACCTCCAGGGCCGACCATGCTGCCTTCTCTACCACCTTCTTCCCGCCCAGCCCTGCACATCTCTCCTGCTCTGGACAATGGCACCTCCATCCCTGTTAGTTCCTAGAGTCAGGGCTCTGGGAGTCACTCTAGCCACCTCCCTCCCTCCCCCTCCACACCTCCGTTCAAATTTCCCCCCCCTGAAATTGTCTGAAATCCCTTCTTACCTCCATCACCAAGGCTGCTGTCTTCACCCAGGCTGCGGTCTCCCTCCTGAACGATCCCAACAGTTTCTTCTGTGGCCTCTTGTCCTCCAGTCTCTGGCTTCCAGCTCTTCCCTACACTGAGCTCGGAGGAAGCATGTTGATATCTATAAGACCCTGCTCCTTTCCTGCTCAAAAACTTTCCATGGCTTCCCATTGCCCTCAGATAAAGCTCAAGTTTGTCTGTCTTCCCCACAGCTGGAACTAGTTGAAGGTCAAAACTGATTCAAAGATCATATTTTATGTTAGTTTGTGAATGGATGAAGGAATGAGTGCATGAAATGAGTGAAAGTGTGTGTTGCTTTTCCTGCCGTATCTGAACCATTTCTGCCTCTGGCGCCCATACAGGCCACCCTGAGACCCACCTCTAGCAGGCCACCTCCAGGAGGGTCCCAAGGCCTTGATTCTCTGGGAGCTGGCCATGTGGGACCTGCTTTTGCAGTGCAGACGATTGTGTATGAGCCCAGGAAGCAAGGCTTAGAGGCTCTCATCCTCCTTTGCTGCCTTACTTGGACAAGCCACTTGCCTCCTGGAGTACTGTGATTTACAAGAAATATGTTTGGTCCTTCAGATGACTAAAATATATATTTCTCGTAGATGTGTGGTCTTCCTCCACAGTTTCTGGCTCACAGCTCCCAAAACCCTTGGAATTTCTAGTTCATGTTAATAAAGGTGACTTTTGAACCCTACCCAAAGGTGGGGGCTGGTTGCCAGGAGAACCAGCCATGTGATCAGAGGATTGGAACTTTCTGTCCCACCCCCTGATTTCCAGGGAGGGGAGGGGGCTTGAGGTTGAATCAATCACCCATGGCCAATGACTCGGTCAACCATGACTACACAATGAAGCCTCCCTAAAAACCCACAAGGCCCTCAGGGCAGGGCATTTCAGAAAGCTTCTGGGTTGGTGGACACATGATGGTCCTCGGAGGATGACACATCCAGAGAGGGCCTGGCAACTCTGCACCCCTCCCCTCATACCTCACCCTAGACATCTCTTCCCTCTAGATGTTCATCTGTATCCTTGATCATATGCTCTAATAAACTGGTAAACCTAAGTGTTACCCTGAGTTCTGTGAGCTGTTTGAGCAAATTAATCCAACCCAAAGAGTGGGCCGTGGGCAATCACAGTTTGTAGCCAGGTGATCTGAAGTACAGGTGACAACCTGGACTTACGGCTGGTGTCTAGGTGAAGGGTGGTCTTGTGGGACTGAGCTTTTTACCTGTAGAATCTGATTCTGTCTCCAGGTAGACCGTGTCAGAGTTGAGCTGAAGTCTCAGATGCCCTGCTGACTTCTGAGATCCACGTGATGGTATGCAGAAGCCCTCCACACACACACATTGGGTTTGGGTCCAGGAACCCCTTTGCAGCTGGATATGAATGTTTGGAGGTAGGAGAGATGTCCAGGGTGAAGATGTGAAAACGTATAGCCCAGGTAAAGTGATGACAAAAGATGAGGCAAAAAACCAAGAAGGGTATGATAAGAGAATGGTAATTCTTCAAAATATTAAAGATAGAATCACCATATAACCTGGCAATTCCACTTCTGGGTATTCATCCAAAAGATTTGAGAGCAAGGACTCAAACAGATATTTGCACACCCATGCTCACAGCAGCGTTGTTCACAACTGCTTAATGGTGCAAGCAACCCAGTCTGAATGGATGGGTGGATAAACACAATGTGATGTATACCTACCGTGGAATATTCTTCAGTATTAAAGAGGAAGGAGTCCTGACATGTGCTGCCACATGGATGAAGCTTGAGAACCTTAGGGTAAGTGAAATAAATCAGTCACAAAAAGGGCAAAAACTATCTGATTATAACACTTATGGGAAGTATCTAAAGTAGTCACATTCCTAGAGACACACAATGGGATGGTGGTTGCTAGGGGCTGGGAGGTGGAGGGAAATGGGGAGTTTCTGCTTAATGGGAATAGAGTTTCAATTTGCGCAACTCGGAAAGACTTGTTGCTTTGTTTTTTTGACTAGATGTCAAAAAAATCCCGTACTCCTATTGTAGAAAATACCCAGTGTGGTACCAGGACACACAGCAAACTCACCAGTGACTGCAGCATTAAAGCCAGACAGGATTGAGTGTTTGGGGAGGAAGTGACTCCACTGGGTGGGAATATCTCATGGGCATGGACCAGGTCAGTCGACTCCTTTCGTGTCTCCAGCCTTCCTGACACAGAGATGCTCACTCAGTGTTTGAGGAATAAATGATTGCCCCTGTCACCTCATCTAGGACCCACTTCTTTTCCTCTGCCCCAGACACTCACGCAGACTCTAAAGAATCCCCCATCTGGCAGGACCCACCATCCAAGCTCTAGATGAGGTTGTGACCCACTGAGGTCAAGCAGAAGCTCAGCAGCTCCCTGATGTAGACAACAGGACTCAGAAATGCAACTCAGATGGGAAGCCCTTACAGACTCGCTGTGTCCCATTCCTCACATGTCCTCAGAGGTCCTGGTCCAGGCTCTGGTGCAGGAGGGAAGCCCCAAGATGGGGGCAGGACACGGGGTCTGCTCCTTGTCTGCTCCCCTCTAAGAGGATGTCAGGGTCTCTGGGCCGTGGAGTGTCCATCCATGCAGTGCAGAGGTGGGGCAAGCTCAGGCCTGCGGTTCCTCTTCTGTGAAGAACCAAGGTTGTGTGCTCCTCCCCAGCTTCCCATGGGTTTGCCCGCAACCTCCTCTCCCAATAACCTTCTCCTTCTCTTTTCAGACACAGGACAGATGTCCAGAATCCTCCATCTCAGAGATGCTGCAGCTGCTGCTGCACCTGCTGTGGGCAGGTGAGTGGGTCTAGGGGAGAGTGAGCAAGCAGGGTGGGGGCTGTAGCTGATCCTCATTTTCCCACAGGGCCTTTGTCTGAGGGCCTGGCTGAGTAGGGAACCTAGAAGGACACAAGCTGGAACCAGAAAAAAGTGTCCAGGAGGCTCTTACCTTCCCCATCAGGGCTGAGACCATCCTCTCCTGCCCAGAGGCACTGGAACAGGTGGACAGAATGGGAGAAAAGGGATCCAGGCATAGTGTCTGATAGTGCTGACCCTGACACTCAGTTTTCCCCTTTGTCAAATGTGAGGACTAGCCTTCTCACCTTCAGAGTTGTTTTTTTGTTTCATTTGGTGCAGCTTGCATGAAGTAAACTACTTAAAGGAGCAATACAGAGGCCAGTATACAGAGTCTTAGCAAGAACATCCCCTTGACCTGTGGCTCAGCCAGGTGGAGCAGACAGACATCACCCTGAGGAAAGACAATGCTTGAGAGGGAACAGGAGAAGTGGGAGAAGGAGCAGAGAGAGGAGGCCAGGTCCACTTCTGATTGTCACCTTCTCCCCTGGCTCCATCCATCCCCACCTCTTTGCCCTCCTGGCCCCAAACCCAAACCATGACCCTCAGCTCAGACCCTTCTGCAGAGGTTCCTGAGCTCCAACCCTGACCCTGTTTCAGCACCACGGACAGAACCGGCTCCCTCGCCTGGGTCTCCCCAGGGTTCAGAGTGCCTCCTGGTGGATGGAGCCCCCCCCCCCCCCCCCCACCACCCCGAGCACTGCCCACTTACCAGCCACTGGTGCAGAGTGGAAGTAGCCTGGGGAAGGGTCTGGTGACATCTTAGGTCAATGATACTGGTCAGGGGTGTCCAGGATATTCCATGGTGTTAACTAGGGATTGGTTGTTGTCCTGAGGTGAGGTTGGTTTAGCCAAGGGTGTCCCCAGTAATTAGACGGAATTACAAAGTTAGCCTTGGATCGTTATGGATAAGAAAGCGTTAACCACTCAAAGAGGAAGTCCTTATGGTATTTTACAACTGTTGCAAGACAATGGGCGAAATAAACATTCCTTTTATTTTATTTTATTGAGGAAGGTTAGCCCTGAGCTAACATCTGCTGCCAATCCTCCTCTTTTTGCTGAGGAAGCCTGGCTCTGAGCTAACATCCGTGCCCATCTTCCTCTACTTTATATGTGGGACTCCTGCCACAGCATGGCTTGCCAAGTTGTGCCATGTCCACACCCGGGATCCCAACCTGGGGACCCCAGGCTGCTGAGAAGCGGAACGTGCGCACTTAACTGCTGTGCCACTGGGCTGGCCCCTAAACATTCCTTTTAATTCTGTACTTGTACTCACCCAGCCTGAACCCCACCCATCCCTGCAGGAATGCTTTCTGTCTTTCTCTGTCTGAGCTGATTTTCACCTTTTCAGTCTGAGACAGGTTTTTCCCCTTTCCAGGTTTTCTCACATTTCTGTCTGGAGCCCTCTGGTCTCTTGTTAGGTGTTCTCAACCACTCCAGGGCTCACACTCCAAGTGTGCCCAGACACTTCCTGTGGTTTCTAGCCCAGGCTGTCCGGAGCCCCAGAGTCATGAAACAGCTGGAAGTCTGCATCCTAAAAGGAGTGGAAACAGGAACATCATATCTTGCCAACTTTCTCCTACATGTGCCTCTCTGTCCTTCCTCCCCTTGCTCAGGAGTGCCCACTGGGGCCGGGCTTCCTCCTGCCCTACGGCCTCTCCAGGATCTGCTACATCAGGCCATCAGGGACCTCTCCAGGTAACCCCTTACTTGAGTCCCCCAAACACCAGAACATGGTTCACCAGCTTGTCACCTCCAGAGCCAGCATTCTACAAGACTCTGACCTCACTCCTGTTTTTCCTGGCAATGTAGGGGGCCTTTGGAATATGAGGGATGAGGAAAACTTGAGCTCCTTTTCCCCTCAGGACAGGAGAAGGTGCTGGACACGGAAGCCTGAAAGGAATGGACAGACACGGGGACACCATGATCACTGTCTCCCAGACCTCTCTCCCCATCCCTAACATAACCGTGCACTTTAGGGAATCACTTTGCTGAGTTGACCCTGACACTACGCAGAGAAACAAATGAGCAAACTTATTTACCTCTCACTTCTACTCTTCCAAACTATTCCCTATGGCTATGAGGGAGTAGAGACAGGGAGAGGAAAGACATATATACATAATTTTTTTTACCAGAATTAAAGCAATACTTGATCCAAAACTCTGCTACTTGTGTATTTACCTGTATGTAGATTTCGGAAGCCTGTCATTGGGCACATACTCATCACCTGCGGTGTAATTTATCATTAGGATGCAAGGCCAGTCTACAGCACTTACGTGAGATGCACAGTCTTGCCTCCAAGGACTCACTTTCTAAGGTTGAAACTTAAATACATGGTTAAAGAAACTTGTCTTCCCGCCTGCTCTCTGCTCACCTCCAATCTGTCTCCAAACAGAAGCCAAAATGAATTCAAAAAACCCAATGATGTCTCTTTTATGCTTCCAACCCTCCAGTGGCTCCCAGCTGCCAAACAGAAACAGCCCAAATCCTTTAAGATGAGCCCAAGGTGTCACACGGTCCATCTTATTTGGCCTAGGGGGACCTCTTTCTAATGACTAGAACACATCACAAACCAAATGCCAACACATGCACAGAGGTACACACAAATCTGTTCATTTATTCTATCAAAGGATAATTTTATTAAAAGGTAAAATCATGACTGTCACATAGATATAAAATGAACACGTGCTAAAGATTTTTTTATGGTGGGAAAAACACCACATAACTTGAGATCTACGCTCTTCAACAATTTTTACATGTGTGATAGTGTTAGCTATAGTCACTATATGGTACAGTGGATCTCTAGAAATTTTTCCCCTTCCATGACTGAAATTTATACTCATTGAACAGCAACTCATTTTATATAACTCACTAATGGGAGAACCAGGCAGAAACGGAAGATGTGCATATGTATATGGAGTAAAGTAGTGTTGAAATGAATTTGTGAATGCATGTGAAATTGGCATGGTGGGGGGATTCAAGCAGCCTCCCAGTGAACAGAATGTGCATGTCTGTGGCCATGAGCTATTTGCATTGCTATTAATTATACACAAATTTTAGCATTGTAAAACAGGTCAAAGGCAATAAAATGCTAAAATCAAATAACTCCAGAAGAGAATGCTCTAAAGAACGCATAGTTTTCCATTGAAGACAGCCAGTCATCTCATCTTGCTTCTTCTGAATTTACTTAAAAATCTTAAATCAAATATTTATTGATCATCTAATATATGCCAAGCAGTTTTCTAGGCAGAATAGATTCCGCAGTGAATGGAAGAGATACAAGATCCTTTGTAAAGCTTACATTTTAATGGCAGGAGAGACAGCCAAAGAATAATTATGTAGATTATATAGATTATATTGACTGGTGATAAGGAGTTTGGACAAAAATGAAACATGAAAGATAATATAGGGAATATGGGAAAGATTATACTCTTCAGTATGTTCCTTGGACATTAACATTGAGAAACTGACATTTGAGTATGTACACATATGCTCACACACAGTAGGCACTTTACACAGACACATACAGCTTAGACATGCACACAGAAACACCACAGATGCACATATATATGCACACAGAGGCACATGTGATACGGCTCAACTCAAGGTTGACATAAGAGAAGCCATATTGTAGAAAGGAAACCATATTGTAACTTTAAGTGTCCTCTGACTGCCTAGCGCCAGACATGCTCTGTAGATTTTGTGGCCCCTCTCAGCTGTTCTAAGTTGCTAACTGTTCTTTTGAGTTCCTTAGGAATGTGAGGAGCCCAGGGCAGAGAGCCTATGCTGATAGCCATCATCAAGGACAAGTGAAAGATCAGGATGTAGGGCATTTCTCCATTCTGATGCGTATCCAGTAAAACAAAGGACTATCAGGAACTGGGACCAGATGTCTGCCCCCATGCTGAGACAAGCCACCTCCCCCACCTGGAGAATAGCTCCTTCTGTGATGGGCCTGTAGTCTTTGTTCGGGAAGATGTTTCTTTTGGATATGAGTCGGCCATCTTCCCTCTTGCTAGCAAGCTGTAATAAAGTCCTTTCTCTCCTACCACCTTGCCTCCTGACTATTGGTGTGTCCTGAGGCGAGCAGACGACCCCTATTGGGCAGCAACAGATATACGCTTCAAAAATAGGTACAGACACACACACCTCAGACGCTCACAGAGAAACCCCAAACACACACACACACATATGCAAACAGACCAAAGAAACACACACACACACAACAGACACTCACATAAAGACTACAGACACAAACACACATGCATATACACAGACACACCACAGACACACAAAACAAGGCATCAGCCATCGGCCCCCTGCGAAGACTGGGGCCTTGTTCTCGGGCCAACTAGATCCAACGTCCCAGCGGGAGATAAAGGTCAGGGGTGCTCTGTGACTCTGGGCCACTTTCTGCCATTTAGGTGACCTTTTCATTCTCAGAACCCACCTCCCCTGCCCAATGGTATTACCATCCGCGTGTCCCTGCTGTGCGTGGTCCAGAAAACCCCATGGCCTCACCACCCTGGCTGCTGACCCGTGCCTGGAGCAGCATTGTGTCCACACTCAGACTGACCACCAGGGAATGGACAGGAAGGTGGGTTCATCACTTGGTCTTTGGAAAGACTGAGACATGAGGCAGGGACAGGTGCAAGGGAAGTGGACTCACCAGAGAGGAGTGGGGAGCAAAGAAGCAGGGGGCAAAGAAGAGTGGGCTCTGGGGTCACAACAGTGTGGGAGGCCCAGGTGCTAAGCAGCTTCTTTCCTTGGACTCCCCCTTGGTCCACCTCTGAGGATCCCATGGAGGTGTGAATGGAGTTCATGGGATGTACTGGGAGCCCCTCAGAGGTGTCCGGAAAGTTCTTCCCATGCTCTTGGACTCGTTCCAGCCCCAATGGAACATTCCTTTGGATACTTCAGCTCTTGCCTAAAGAAGCTCCTGAGATGGCTTCCTGGAAACTTGATGTTGATGAAGGGACCTGGGCAGGAGAGAACCAGGGTCCCCTGCATGGGCAGCAAGGAGCAGCATTAGCTACAGAGCTCATTGTGATGAGGATCAAGGCTGCCCCTGCCCCAGGGAGAAGCCCAAGACATCCTGCCCTACATACTGATCTATATCACCCTCGGAAAGCATAGGACATCCTGACTTAGTCCACTCTGATTTCTATCCAAAGTTACAGGAACACCCAACAACCAGACCCCACCTGCACTGATACCATTTTAATGACTTTTTTCATGATCTTTCCTTTGTCTTGTAAAGAAATAGCTCACATACCTATGCCTTCTAAATTTAGCTCTAACCCCCAATACATGACAGATCTTACTGCCCATAGGTCCTGTCCCCATCCTATTCTCTGAATAAAAGAGCACTACTGCCAGACCTTGAGAGTTCAAGAGATCTTTCTTTCGACTCCTCGACTCACCAAGCCTGCATCAATTGGGTGTCTCAGTTACCACGTGCTTCCATAAAGTAAGGGGAGGAAGAAGAAATGCTTTGGAGGAGTTCAGAAGTAGATTTCCTTGGAGAGTTCAGACTTAGATTTCCTTGGACCTTAGAGCTGAGAAGCTGAAGAACCGACTACAGAAAAGGGACTGGCCAGTGGACTGCGGTGGACTCCCTGTCTGCCCACATCAGCATCTTTGGCTCTGGTCCTGCTCTCTGGAGGGATGAACTTACCTCCCTGACAACCTTGCTCACCTCCCACCTCCCAGCACACTTGTCCCATCCTCCAGGGACATCTTCACTCCCTCCTCAGTCTCCTGCAGCCCCTCCAGAGTGAGGGTCACCTCAGCCCAGTGTCCTAGGACACTCTGCTTAGATGAGAGACAGGCCCCAGGGTACAGTAGCAGCAACAGCCTCAGCCAGCAAAGGGACCAGCCCCAGCAGAGGCCTGTGGAGCCCGGCCCATCCTTGAGAGAGGGGGGAAGTGTGGCCGGGGTGAAGTAAGGGCACTCTGGAGCTCAGAGCTGGTTCACTGAGGAGAAGCAGAGGTTCCTCCAGTTGCCAGAACTTTCCGCTTCCTTTTCTCCTCCCATCCTCAATATGGCCCCACCCTACAGACTGGCGTCTGGCCGCTGAGTGGACTGTGTTCCCTGTGGGCCAGAGCAGGGTACTCAGAGCACTTCACTTGCACAAACACATTTATCTCCTTGGGGACCCCATGTAACAGTTTGCTCGGGATGACGTAGCAAAGTACCACAGACCAGATGACTAAAAGAACAGAAACTCATTTTCTCCCAGTTCTGAAGGCTCAAAGTCCAAGGTCAAAGTGTTGGCAGGGTTTCTTCCTGCTGAGACCTCTCTCTTTGACTTGCCGACGGCCGCCTGCTCCTCCCTGTGTCTTTCCATGGTCTTCCTTCTGTATATGTCTGCACCCTAATCTACTCTTCTCGTAATGGCACCTGTCCTATTCAACTAGGGCCTTTCCTAATGACCTCATTTACTTTAATTACCTCCTTAAAGGCTTGTCTCCAAACACAGTCACCTTTGGAAGTATTGCGGTTTAGGGCTTCAACATCTGAATTTTGGAGGTGACACGATGCGGCCCATAACACCCTGTGAGCACAGGTACTGGACTATGCACAGAGTGGTTAAGCCCCTTCCCAAGTCAGCACAGCAAGCATTATGGAGCCAGGCTAAAGCCTGGGCCATCTGGTAGCAGAGTCCATGCCTCTGACCCCTCATTGGACGCCTCAGAAAAGGAAGTCCCAGGGCGCTGGTGACCATCGGAGCTTCTCGCTGAGGCTTCGACTCAGAATGTCCACTGAGGAATGGGCAGGGCCACACACTGACCTGCAGGACTGCCCACGTCCGTCATCATACTGGATTCTCTCACCGACGACGGCTGAGAATGGGGACCCCTCCACGTGACAAGTGAGGAAAGTGAGGCCTAGAGGGGAGCAGGGCCAGGCCCCTTGACTCCAAAGCTGCAGCTTCCCGTCAACGTCATGCTGTGCTGTCATCTTGCTCCAGATACCTGGATCTCAGGCCTGGCCCGTGTGGTCAACACCAGGATGCCAGGAGCAGGGGGCTGCGGGCAGCTCAGAAAGCCCCCGGACCACGCATGGGGGTCACCTTGTGAGCTGATCTCGCCACTCCAGCCATTTACACCTGGGAGCTCACTTTCTGGCTGCACAGAGCAACCGTGTTTCCTACGAGCCGCTGCCTGTGCTTCCACCATCACACACCGTACTGACAAGAGCTGGAAGGGCCTGGGGTTGCTCTGCCTCCTCAGGTGTTAGAGACGTTCTCCAGGACAGAGCCAAAGTCTGTCCCATTGTCCCTTTGACTCCGCCCCCCTGAAAGGATTAGATGCTCAAGATGCGATGGTCGTGTTCATTTATTCATCAATCACCACCTCCCTCACCCGGGGATGGGGGACCCCTTCCCTCTTTCTCCCCTTGAGGTTCCACCACCCGCCCCTCCTGCGTCCCACTCCTGGAGGGACGGCCCCTCATCTAGAGGCTGTGATTGTCCAGGCAGTGCCTGCTTTCCTGTTGTGGACAGCTGTGCGAGAGAGACAGGTCACAGGGAGGGAGCCAGGAGGCGAGAGTTGGGTCCTCCTTGCTCTTTGCGACCCCCACTGGGTCCCCATCTGGAAAGTAGAACTGTTTATTCTCCAAGGAGCACACCAGCTCCAACAGCACGTGAGTGTCAAGTTCCTCTTCTGCGGTCAGTCACCTTTCTGACTACAGCCTGGGCTTCCTGGTGGGGCTTCCTCTCAGTCCTGTGACACCAAGGCCCTGTGGCTCGTCCCCCCAAAGATGCCGCTGCTGCTGCTGCTGCTGCTGCTGTGGCCGCCCCTGCTGTGGGCAGCAGAGTGGGGCAAAGAGAGCTGGGACGGGTGGCCAGGGCCCCGGGCTCGTGACCTGAGATACCAGCTGCGAGTGCAGAAGTCTGTGACGGTGCAAGCGGGCCTGTGTGTCTCTGTGGCCTGTACCTTCTCCTATCCTTCGGACGAATGGACTGATGCTCACCCAGCTTACGGCTACTGGTTCCGAGAAGGTACAAATACAGACCTTGGTGCTCCTGTGGCCACAAACCACCCATATCGTGAAGTGGAGGCGAAGACCCAGGGACGATTCCACCTCCTCCAGGACATTAGGAACTACAGCTGCTCCCTGGACATCAGAGACGTACAGAGAGGAGATGAGGGGAAATACTTCTTTAGGGTGGAAAGAGGGCCTCGTGTGAAATATAATTACAGAGAGAACCAACTCTCTGTGATTGTGCCAGGTAAGGAATGGGGACAAGGAGAGGACACGTGGATGGGTTCTGAGAGCCCCTAGGATGGGGCTGAGAGAGAACCCCTGCTCCTCATCCTGGAAGGGACCCAGGGGGACAGGATGCTGAGGCTGGGTGGGGAGGAGACAGTTGCCCTGAGGCAGAGGTTGTTCTTAGGGTCACCCTTGGGGGCCCCACCTCCAGGCCTGGTCTCTGTCTCTCTCCTGCTCAGCTCTGACAGAGACACCTGACATCCACATCCAGGAGACCCTAGAAGCAGGCAACCCCAAGAACATTACCTGTACTGCACCATGGGCCTGTGAGAGGGGGACGCCTCCCACCTTCTCCTGGGTCGGGGTGGCCCTCACCTCCCAGGGCCCCAAGATTCCCCGTACCTCGGTGCTCACCCTCACCCCACAGCCCCAGGACCATGGCAGCAACCTCACCTGTCGAGTGACCTTACCCGGAGCTGATGTGAGCGCAGAGAGAACCATCCAGCTCAACGTGTCCTGTGAGTGTCAGGCCAGGGTGGCCGGGTCCCTGAGGGCAGTGGGTGTTGGGGAGGGGAACGGGGAGGCAGAGCCCAGGATCGTGGGTGCTGGGTCCTGCAAGCTGGCTCTGGGGAGGAAGGAAAGAGCATAACCGACTCCATCCGCTCTTATTTCTCAAGTTCTGTGGGGAAAGGGCCAACACCCACTTTCCTGTCCTTGAAAAGGGAACAATTATGTCTGTCTGTCCAGATGCACCCCAGAACCTGACCATCAGCATGTTCCAGAAAGAAGGCACAGGTAGGGTGCAACCTCTCCTCTTCAGGGCCTGTGATGGAAGCGGGGTCTGTCTCCTCCCTTCAGAGCAGAGCTGAGGTTCAGAGCTCAGATGGGAGAAAGGCTCAGGCCAGGTGTGGGCACAGCAGATGGGGGAAGCCCCCAACTCGATCATCAGCTTACAACCTGGTCTCACACTACCCCTGACCCTGCTCTCAGGGGGTTTGCATGGCCTCTTCCATGTCCAATAGATGTGCTGTCCCCATGCCAGGGACACATCCTCATCCCAAATCCTGCCCTCATTCTCCCTAAGATCTGGACCCTGCCTCCTTCTCCAGCCTCCCTGGATCATCTTAATGTTAGTGTCTAAAACAGGAAGCATCAAATGTGCCTCAGTCTGCTCGGGCCTCCATAACCAAATACTCCAGGCTGGGCGGCTTAAACAACAGGAATTTATTTCTCACAGTTCTGGAGGCTGGAAGTCCAAGATCAAGGTGTCAGCCATTAGGTTCCTGGTGAGGATTCTCTTCCTGCCTTGTAGACGGCTGCCTTCTGGCCATGTCCTCACAGGGCTGAGAGAGCCAGCTCTCTGGTGTCTCTCCTTCTAAGGGCACTAATGTCATCATGAGAGCCCCACTCTCATGACCTCATCTGACCTCCCAAAGGCCCATCCAGGTACCTCCAAACACATCACACTGGGGGTTACGGCTTCAACACATGAATTAGGGTGAACACAATTCAGTCCCTAGCAAAATTTAGTGGGAATAAAACAATATTCAGGATGCTGTGTACCTCCCTCTTGGTTATCTTCCCAAATATAACCTACGCATATACATTTAAACACATACACACATATGTACACATCATACTATTCACACTGCTCTGCATCTTTATTATTTTTAGTAAATTTTTCATGTGGAGCAATTTTAGATTTACATGGTACCGAGAGTTTCCATAACCCCTCTCCCAGCACCCCTCATTGTTGAAATCTCCCATCACCTTGGCACTTTTGTCACGACTAAGGAACTGACATTGATACATTTCTGTGAACTGAACTTGCCTTTTTCTCAAACTTAGTCTATCGTGCAGATTCTTCTGTATCAGTACATGGGACACCGTCTTTATGCTTATTGGTGACTCCATCGTTTTCCAATTGGAAGTGTATTATACTAGAAAGTACTTAATTGGTCCGCTGCTGGTGGAAAACTATGGCATTTCCGGTCTTCTGAGACAAATAATACTGCACAGAATGACTTGTACAAACATTCCCCACATCTGTGCCTGTGTCTGTCAGATAATTTTCTAGAGAGGAAAGTCCTGGATCAGAGGGTGTGTGTGTAATTTCTACAGATGTTGCCAATCCCACTGCACGGAGGTGGTTCTGCTTCTCCTCCCACGTGCAGTGTGCCCCCTGCCCTGCTGAGCGTGTCCGTCCTCGCTGATCCTAAGTGGACTCACGGTTGTGTTAACTTGCATTTTGTGACTAGGTTGAGATCTTTCATTATGTTTAAGAACCATTTGTATTTCTTTGTGGACATTTTCTTAATGATTTGAAGAAGCTCTTTTCATATTACAGACATCAGCTATGTGTTAGTTGATTTATTTCTAGTCTTTTGATGGCCTTTTGACTTAGTGTACGGTGACTTCATCAGGCGAAAATGGGGAATTTTTTTTTTTGAGGAAGATTAGCCCTGAGCTAACTACTGCCAGTCCTCCTCCTTTTTTGCTGAGGAAGGCTGGCCCTGAGCTCACATCCGTGCCCATCTTCCTCTTCTTTATACGTGGGACGCCTGCCACAGCATGACTTGCCAAACGGTGCCATGTCCGCACCCGCGATCCAAACTGGCCAACCCCGGGCCGCCGAGAAGTGGAACAAGTGAACTTAACCACTGCGCCACCGGGTCAGCCCCTGGAATTTTTTTTTTTTTTTTGAGTCACATTTAGTGGTGTACTGGTCTTGGCTCTTAAAGTTGGCAAGAGCCAGTTATGTCCATCTTTTCCAAATTCTGGGTTCAGTGACTTCAAATTGGGTGCTTGGAATTGGCCAAGAAGGGAGTATTCACACCTAGGAAATTGGCAAATACACAAATCAGGGCGGTTTTTTTCTCACCGCAATGAGCAGGTTGTTAAAGATTTACTAGCAAACCACTGGTTGCATTTACCAATATTTTCTTTCGTGTCTCTGACTTTTCACTGACTATGATGCTAATATTATATTTAAATCTCCCATAATTTTTTCTGGTAGCCTCATATGTAAACACTCCCAAACACACCCATTCCCTCAAGCCTTGCAGAACTATTTCCTTTTCCCTGAGCATGCAGGTCATTTCACACCTCTGCTGTAGTTGTACCTCTTGTACCTTCCTCCACAAGGTTCTTCCATCAGCATCATCCTCCAGCTGGCTCCCACCCACTCTCATGCTCTGCTTTAGCCTCTCCTCCTCCAGAAAGCCCTGCCTGTCCTGACAGTCTCAACACACTCCCCTGCTCAGGGCTCCCTCAGCCCGATTTGTCCCCAGCACCAAACCTGTCATATTGTTCTGTGAGTACCTGCTTTTGGGTATCTCGCCCACGAGACTGTGAGCTCTCAGACATAGCTAAATTAGACTGGTCTTAGTGAACCTTTATTGAAAGACAAAATGGCAAGGCTCATAGAGGCAAATCTGGGATCTGGGTCAGCACAGATGGCCAAGACGGGAGGTGTGGGGACCAAGGCGGTTCAGGAAAATGCACAACGGCCATTTGGAAAGGCTGCAATTCCTGCTTCCAGCCCTGTCCCCTTGGGGCTGAGTGCAAATGCTATGAACCCATCAGGCAATGGAACAGGAGAAATGGACCCACATGATGAAAGGAAAAGAGAAACAGAGAGAGCCCCTAATGAGGGTCTGGGCTCAGCGTTCTCTCTGTCTTTCCAGGACCTGAAGCTCTGGGCAACGGCTCATCTCTTCTAGTGCAGGAGGGCCAGTCCCTGCGCCTGGTCTGTGTTGCCGACAGCAACCCTCCCGCCACGATAACCTGGACCCGGGGGAGCCAGATCCTGAGCTCCTCAAACCCCGGGGTCCTGGAGCTGCCCTGGGTGGAGTTGGGGCACCAAGGGACATATGTCTGCCGAGCTCAGCACCTGTTGGGCTCCCTGGAAGCCTCCTTGAGCCTCTTCGTGACCAGTGAGTTGGAACACACCTGGGAAAAGGATGCCTGGGTCCTTGAGGGGAGAGAGGCTCCTTTGATTCCGCTCCTCTCTCCCCACAGACCCCCCACAGCTGTTTGAGCCCTCCTGCTCCTGGGAGAATGAGGGTCTGCGCTGCAGCTGCTCTGCTCGAGGCCTGCCAGCCCCCTCCCTGTACTGGTGGCTGAGGGAAGAACTGGTGGAGGGGAACTACAGCAACGCCTCCTTCACTGTCACTTCCAGCTCCACCGGGCCCTGGACCAACAGCTCCCTGAGCTTGGGCAGGGAGCTCTGCTCCAGCCTCAGGCTCAGATGTGAGGCCCAAAATCCTTATGGGAAACAGAGCGTGACTGTCCTGCTGCTCCCAGGTCAGGGGCTATGAAGGGTGATGCCCAGGAGATGGGGATTCATAACCCTGGATCCTAGAAGACACTGAGAGGGAGAGAAATGAGTCTGATTCAGGGTGAAGAGGGAATCGAGTTCAGAGTCTTTTGTCAGTTGGCTGGGGAGGAGGTCGGGGGAACAGGAGGCTGCAATATAGAGGGGTGTGGGACAAAGGAGAGAGTCCTGGATAGAAGTGGGTGCACTCGTGGGTCATGGGTTTGCGAAAGAGGGATGCTCAGGTGCCTGCTTAGGGGGCCTGCAGTTTACCCCGGATCTCTCTTTTCTGCAGGGACACCAGGACCCAGGACAGGTGAGGTTGTGGGGGCCCTCGGGGGAGCTGGTGTCACAGCCCTGCTTGCTCTCTGCCTCTGCCTCATCTTTTTCGTGTGAGTGGTGGCCCCAGTTTGGGTGAAGGCCTCCTGAGGTGGTGATATGGGAGGGTGGGTGGATTCAACAAATCTCCAAAACTTGAAGCCCCGAGCTGGAGGACCAAGCAAGGTGATGAAGCCAGGGGGGGACCACAATTAGTTGAAATGGCATCAGGAGCTCAGCCTCCTGACATCTTGGCCAAGTGTATGGTTTCAGCCGTCCAGGAGGAGGGAACAAGTGTTCTCATTATAGTCTCTGCAGCGAGGCAGCCCCTCCATGCCCTGCCTCAGTCAGCCCCTCTAGGCTTCTGACAGTGAGTCAACCAGGCTGAAAAGTCCTGGTCAATCCCCTCAGAGTGAAGATCTACAAGAAGAAATCAGCGGAGAAGGCAGCGAGTGGGCATGGTGTCCATTTTGCAGAGAGTACCGTCTCCTGGGTGAGTGATGTGGGCATCTTTCCATCCAGGGTCCCATCTGGACACAGCTCCAGGTGTGGGGTAGGCATGTTGACAGGTAGCTTACTCAGCTCATCAAAAATTAGCTCTTCATCTGCTCCCCAATTTTTTCCTCCCCTCAGATTTCCTGCTGCACTCAACTCAGAGACCTGAGAACCAGCCTCTCCTCTTTCCTCTCCTTCACCTCCCAGAGCCGATCAGTGAGCAAGTCCTGTCCTTTTTCCCTTTTAGCAAAGTTTTTCTCCATTGGGCCCTTTTCTGTTGAGCCCTCACTGTCTCTCCTGGGTCACTGACTCCATCTCTTCTCCCAGAAGAAGGTTTTGGCAAGAAATTCCCCATACAGCTGACATGCTGTCACCCTCTGCTTCCTCCCTGCCACCTAGGTCAGCAAAGTCCGACAGAAATATGACATGAGCCATGTATTTAATTCAACACTTAGCCACATTGAAAAGATAGAAAGAAACATGAGATCAATTTTAATATAATATTTTTTTAAAGATTTTGTTTTTTCTTTTTCTCCCCAAAGCTCCCCCAGTACATAGTTGGGTATTTTATTTTTTTGGTTGTGGGTCCTTCTGGTTGTAGCATGTGGGACACTGCCTCAGCATGGCTTGATGAGCGGTGCCATGTCCATGCCCAGGATTTGAACTGGTGAAACCCTGGGCTGCCGAAGCGGAGCCCGCTCAGCCACGGGGCCGGCCCCTAATATAACGTTTTATTTAACCCATCATACCCAAAAATGACCACTTCAGCAGCATACCATCAATAATCAATATATAGATTACTAACTGGACACTTTATATTCTTTTTCCTTTTTTCTTTTTGGTACAAAGTCTTTGGAATCCAGTGTTTGTTTTAAACTTACAGCTCATCTCCAGTCTGACTCACCACATTTCATGTGCTCAATAGCCACGTGTGGCCAGGGGCTACCTTATTGGACAGCACAGGCCTAGGGAATCAAGTCAAGATTCTTCAGTCCGGTGTTCTGTAATGTGTCCCCTGCCATGTTTTCCAGTCTGCTTCCCGTCTCTCCCCACAACATGAGCTTACTGTATACTGTGATATTGTGATTTATAGTAAGAAATATACATATTTGGTTTTTGTCCCAATTCCTGGCAATGAGCTCCTAGGACCCTTGGAATTTCCTGTGATGGGAGTGATAAAGGTATCTTTTGCTATGTTACTGAAGTGATTTGGGGAAAGCACCTATGGGATGGGGGCTGGTTGCCAGGGGAACTAACCACGTGATTACAGGGCTGTAACTTTCTGCCCCGCCCCCTGACCTCCAGGGAAGGGAGAGGGCCCGGAAGTTGAATCAATCACCAATAGTCAATGGTTTAGTCAATCCCGCCTGTGTAGTGAAGCCTCCATAAAACCCAAAAGGACGGAGTTTGGAGAGCTTCTAGGTTGGTGAAAGGATGGAGATTCATGGAAAGTGGCACAATTGGAGAGCGTGGAAGCTCTGTGCCCCTTCCCCATACCTCGCTCTACGCATCTCTTCCATCTGGCTGCTCCTGAGTTATATCCTTTTATAAAAAAACTGGTGATGTAGTAAGTAAAATGTTTCTCTGAGTTCTGTGAGCTGCTCTAGCAAATTAATCGAACCAGAGGCGGGGGTCGTGAGAACCTCTGATCTGCAGCCATTTGATCAGAAGCACAGGTGACAACCTGGACTTGTAATCAGCATCTGAAGTTGGGCAGTGGGGGGTGGCATGTAATGGTCTTGTAGGATTGAGTCCTTAACCTACGGGATCTGACGCCATCTCCAGGCAGAGAGTGTCAGAATTGAGTTGAATTGTAAGACACCCAGCTGGTCTTGGAGACTTGCTTGTTGGTGTGGAACCCACCTCCACGTTGTAATTGGTTCCAGAATCCTTCCACCCCCAGGCAGGGCTCACTCTTCTGCTCCTTTGTGGCTTTGCCTGGGTGATTCTTTCTGTCCCTCCCCCTTTTGCACTGGTCAGGCCCCTAATTGTCTTTCATGCTCCAATTCAAATATTCCCCTGCCCTGTGCCAGGCAGACCATCATCTTGCATCCCTGTAGCATCGCAGGCCTGTCCCCAGCATACTGTGAGGGCAGGGGCAGGTCTACCGCAGACCCCTGTCATTCTCACCACGACACCCTGCTGCTGTTCACCAGATTACAGTTTGCAATTTGATATGTTTTTGTGCATGTGTGTGCCAATCTGGTCCTGTCTCCTTGCCCTGATAGACTGTCCGAGGTCAGAGATCTCTTCTGCTGAAGAATTAGCTACTTGACCTTGCTCACCCAGTCTGTTTTCCTATCTGTAAAACGGGAATAATAGTTATATCATCCATGGAGGGAAGTTGTAAGGATTCAGCGAGATTAGTAATAAGAGAAGACCATTATGATTAAGTTTGTTAAAAGTATGAATGAATGAGTCAGTGAGTGAGCGAATGAATGAACGAGCGAATCCTCAGGAAATGGGTGTGAAATGGGTAAATGCGTCAATGCCCGCTCAAGCCCCAATTTCCTTTCTCCAGACCCCAAAGGCCAGTTCTGATGCTCTTCTCTCCTCCCACTCAGGGTCACCTGAAAGAACCCGGGTCAGACAGACCCTCAGACCACCCAGCCCCAGCTGCCACTGCCTCCACCTCAGAGGAGGAGCAGGAACTCCATTATGCCTCCCTCAGTTTCCAGAGGACGACATCACGCACCTTTCAGGAACAGGAGACCACCGAGTACTCAGAGATCAAGATCCAGAAATGATGACCCCACCCCCCTCCCCAACCCCCCTGAGTTGTCTGGAGCCCAGAAAATGCATCTCTGAGGAAAATATGTGCCAGGCACTGATTCTTGGAAAGTTGACAGCCCTCTGAGCCAAAGTTTATAAATGAGAATGTGAAGTTCCTTGCACATTACATGAAGTGAAATAAGCCAGTCACAAAGAGAGAAATTCTGCGTGATTCCACTTATATAAGGTATCTAAAGTAATCCAACTCTTAGAAAGAGAAGGTAGAGGGCTCAGGGGAGAGGGAAATAGGAAGTTGCTATTCACTAGGTATAGAGTTTCGGTTTTGCAAGATGAGAATGTTCTAGAGATCTGATGCACAGCAATGTACATACAGTTAACACTACTGTACCAAACACTTAAAAATGGTTAATATGGTAAATTTTATGTTATTTTTTTCCATGATAAAAAAAAAGTAGGGGCCAGCCTGGTGGTGCAGTCAAGTGCACACGTTCCGCTTCGGTGGCCTGGGGTTCACGGGTTCGGATCCCGGGTACACCATGCTGTGGCAGGCGTCCCACATATAAAGTAGAGGAAGATGAGCACAGATGTTAGCTCAGGGCCAGTATTCCTCAGCGAAAAGAGGAGGATTGGCAGCAGATGTTAGCTCAGGGTTAATCTTCCTCAAAAAAAAAAAAAAAGTAATATACAGTGGTCACCAGGAGCTGGGGATTAAGGGAGAGAGTGGGGAATTAGTGTTTATTGGGTGTAGAATTTCAATTTAGGATGATGGAAAGGGTCTAGAGATAGATAGTGGTGATGGTTGCACAATGTGAATGTACTTAATGCCTCTGAATTGCACATTTAAAAAACGGTTAAAACAGTAAATTTTATGTTCTGTATACTTTACCACAATAAAATAAAATTCTTAAAGAATATCAAGTGTTGGTGAAGATGTGGAGCAACTGGAACTCTCATAAACTGCTGTTGGAAGTGAGAATTGGTGCAAACGCTTGGAAAAATGTTTGGCACTCTGCTAACTCCGAGCATATGAGCCAGCAATTCCACTCCCAGGTGGGTACCCTACAGCAGTAGATACAAATGTTCACCAAATGTATACAGGAATGTTCACAGCAGCATTGTAATGGCTGAAAAATGGGACCAGCCCAAATGCTCTTCAACAGTAAGACAGGTAAATAGATTGCAGAGTGTTCATGCAGCAGAAGAAGCAAATCTCCACGCAATGTCCATGAATCTTACAAGCATAATGTTGGGTGAAAGAACCTAGACACCAAGAGTGCATACTATGTGACATCCTTGATGTAAGGTTTAGAAACAGACAACACTAATCTTTAGTATTAGAAGTTCAGATATTGGTTATCCTTGAGGGGTAGTGACTGGAAGGGGCCAGTAAGGACCTCCTGGGGGTTCCAGTGAGGATGTGTTTCTTGATCCAGCATTAACTGCTCAGATGTATTCACTCTATGAAAGGTATTTGAGTGAAACACTTGTGATTTCTGCTCTTTTCTGTATGCAATGTGACTCTTCAAAAAAGTTGACATTAAGCTTTTTAAAAGATTATCCCTGTAAGTATCTAACTCTGATTTCCACCAAATAATAAACTCCCCCAGGGCAAGGACAGTAATATGTCCAGCCCTGTATTTTCAGAGCCTGGGCTTGGACAAAGCACATAAAGTGAACTCTGTCAACCTTTGAAATGACTTGAACACAAGTTCAAGGAGACAACCTGGCTGGGCTCTGCTGAGACCGCCCAGGTTGTGTTTCCAGCCCAGGCCTCTCTCCTAAGCTCTAAATCCCTATGTCGTCCTGGACATCTCTCCCTGAATGACCACAGTCTCCTCACTTTCCTTGCATCTCAAACTGGACTGCACAGCTTCCCTCAAGCCTGGTTCTCCCTGCAGTCCTCCATCCAGGCTGTGAGAGTGTCCATCCTCCAGCATGCTACCTGATTCCCGCCATCCGGGCAACGAGAGCATCACGCTCCTTGCCTCGACTAGCTGCAACTTCCCACCAGGACACAGTTTCTGGTGTGACGCTCCCTGGATCTTATGAAACAGGTCTCCTCTTCTTCCCCAATCTCTCAGGTCCCAGTTTAGGTTCCTTTCTGCTTCATCCTCTAAGAAGCCACTGTCTGAACCACTTCCCGAATCTGGTGAGGCTGCATCTTCCCCACCCACCTGGGGGCTTTGAGCTCCCCCTGGCCACAGTATAAAGTGCTTCAAGGCTCAACAACAAAGTCCAATAGTACTCAAGGCCCAGCTTCCAGCAGAAGCTTTCTTCAACCCCTTCCTGCTGTCCTGGAGAAGATTCTGGAACTCTCTCCTCAGGAACCCCACAGACCTCATTCATCTCTCCACCATACCTTTAACGACAGGGCCTAGAGACTTCCTAAACTGTCTTAGTGAAGGCAGTAAAGGCCAGTGGTTAAAATTTTAAGCCCCTTCCTAATAGCCAAAAGGCAGAAGCAACCCAAATGTCCATCAAGGAAGGAATGGATAAACAAAATGTGGTAGATGCATACAATGGGCTACCATCCCGCCATGAAAATACTGAAGCACTGATACCTGCCACAACACGGATGGACCTCAAACACTTGCTGAATGAAAGACACCAGATGCAAATGGTCACATATTATATGATTCCATTTATACAAAACATTCAAAATACGTAAATCCATAGAGACGGAAAGCAGATTAAGGGCTGCCAGTGGTTGCCAGGGGGAAAGAATGGAGACTAATTGTTTAATGGGTATGAGGTTTCTTTTTTGGGGTGATGAAAAATGTTTTGGAACTAGGTAGAGGTGGTGGTTACATAGCACTGTGAATGTGCTAAATGCCACTAAATTGTTCTTTTTAATTTTTTTTATTTTTGAGGAAGATTAGCTCTGAGCCAACTGCTGCCAATCCTCCTCTTTTTGCTGAGGAAGACTGGCCCTGAGCTCACATCTGGGCCCATTTTCCTCCACTTTGTATGTGGGACGCCTACCACAGCATGGCTTTGCCAAGTGGTGCCACGTCCACACCAGGGATCTGAACCAGCGAACCTGGGCCACTGAGGTAGAACGTGCGAACTTAACTGCTGCGCCACCGGGCCAGCCCCAAAAGTGGTTAATTTTACGTTACATGAATATCCCCATTCACTAAAAAAAATAATAATTAATCTCTTATAGTCATTCTGCCAGGATTCAGACACCTGCTTCACCACTCAATCTCTTGCTACTTCCACTTGCTCATCTGTTAAATGAGGACAATATTCCTTAGCTTGTGTGGTTGTTTTGAGAATTCAGTGAATTAATACACACAGGCATGGCACAGTGTCCAGAGGATGGTGAACCCCCAGTCATGGTCAGGTCTGGGTGGCGGGTCAAAGTGCACTCAGCCAAGGGCCAAATGCTGCTGAGGGAATCCTTCAGTTAGCTAAATGACCTCTAGGTTTCAAGCTGTAAACATATGGTGCCAGGCTCTACACTTGTACCCTGATCAGTGGACATCCCTGTGGTTACAGGGAAAGGCTGCTGATGTGCAAGTTAACAAAGGAGAAGTGTCAGGTCTATTTCAGGTCTTCATGGCCAGGGTTTTGTTTCATTTCCCTCTTCCCTCATCGCCTATTTCCATGAGTCGCCTAATCCTTGATCTGTCCCCTACTCTCCAACCCCAGATCAGGTCCCAGCCTGACCTTTCTCCCTGAGATCATCATAACAGCCTCCTCCCAGCCTCTGAGCTCCAGGCTCACCTCATCTAACCCATCTCTAACAGCAGCAGCCCAGGGAGCTTTCTTTTCTTTTTTTAAGGAAGATTAGCCCTGAGCTAACTGCTGCCAATCCTCCTCTTTTTGCTGAGGAAGATCGGCCCTGAGCTAACATCCGTGCCCATCTTCCTCTACTTTATATGTGGGATGCCTACCACAGCATGGCTTGCCAAGCGGTGCCACGTCTGCACTTGGGATCTTAACTGGCAAACCCGGGCCGCCAAAGGGGAACGTGTGCACTTAACCGCTGCGCCACCGTTCCAGCCCCACTTGACCAGTTTTGACAAACAAAAATGTCTCCATACACTGCCAAATGTCTGTGGGGTACAAAAAGGCCCCTGGTTGAAAACCACTATGTTAGAGCCTTCCTCCACCGTGTTCCCTCAGATACTTCAACAGAATGACAAATTCTCCAGTTCTTCTTTCAAGGTCACCACAAACACCGTTACCTCACTCCTGGTTTAGTTTCAAAACTATTAAGTGCGTTTCAGTTCCTTTGCCGCGCATTCTTGAGGGGAACCTTGAGAAATCCTTACGCTTTCTTACCATTTCTTTGTTCTCCAAACTTTTGTCGTATGTCCTCTCTTTGCTGGAAACACTAAGAGGAAGAAAATACAGTTCCTGTCTCAGGGGAACTCAAGTTCATGGGGTGGGGCTTGGGGAAGGGACAGCAATATGCAACCTTCTAAAACAGTGCGATAGGCTTCCCACGTCCGGAAGCCCAAGGGTAAGAGCGCTGATCTCTGCCTCAGGGATGAGAAGGGAGCTAGACAAGGCTTGTTTCCAGCTGTACCTTGAGAGGAAAGCAGGGGTGGGCCAAGCAGAGAATGGAGGAAAAGCAGACCAGGTTGTGGTAACATTAGGCACAAATCAAGGAGAGGGCCTGGCAGCTGTTTAAGCAAGAGTGGTAAGTGTGTGATAGCTGGAATCTGGGATAAAAGAGACCAAAGGAGGTCACATCTTAGAAAGCCTGGCTGGACCTCATCCTTCAGTCTGTCATGTCAAAAACAAAGCTGAATTTAGATAAGGAAAGACTTTATTCAAAAGGATTATTGCAATAAGGGGACTGGAATTGTTGCAATGGGCGGAGGGGAATTGTTGCAACAAGGGAAAAAGGACTCCTCTTTGCCACAAAGTCTTAATAAATTTAAGAAGTTGTAAATCATGCAAAGCATCTCTTCCGATCACAGTGGAATGAAACTAGAAATAGCAGAAGGGAAGCTGTAAAACTCACACATATGAGGAAATTAAATAACATGCTCTTAAACAAACAGCAGGGCAAAGAAGAAATAAGAAAAAGTAGAAAATACTGTTACCAAGCAAGGGCTCTGTCCACCCGTGTGCACGGGAGCGGATACAATGGTCACCAGTCTTCGAGGGAAGAAAGTTTCTTAGACAATCGATTGGTAAGGACACAGAAAGACAAGCTCTCAACTCTGTCTCCCAGATCCAGGGTATGGATTAAGATTTAAGGGGTCAGGGAGGCCAGGCTGGTATGCAGAAGCACTGGCATGATGAGTTTCCATTGGCAGATCAAAATTTTCTCTTCTGTGTATGTTCCTGGCTGGCTCACCGTCCCTGAAAAGTAGCTTTAACATTCCGTTGTTAAGATGAGGGCAGACAGCAAACGAGGTAAAGTTATTATGTAGATTCAAGTCATTGCTTCTCGATTGGTAAGCGGTTTCTAGAGATTAGTCATCCTCTCCT